TCATTTATTTTTATGTGGTACTGAGGATTGAACCCAGGGCCTCGAACCATGCTAGGCGAGCGCTCTACTGCTGAGCCACAACCCCAGCCCCTCATTCTTTATTTTTGAGACAGGGTTTCACTGTGTTGCTTAGGGCCTTGTAGACTGGCTTTGAACTTGTGATCCTCCTGCCTCAGGCTCCTGAGTCGCTGGGATTTTAGGTGTGGACTATCAAACCCTGCTTATACTTATCTTAATAAGCTTGGGAATTGCCAGGTGGTTTTTTAAAAAGCCCTATTATGTCTGCAGATCTTTTTTTATTGTGGTAGTAGGGATTGAATTCGAGGCCTTGTATATGCTAGGCAAGTGTTCCACTATTGAGCTGCATCCCCAGCCCTCCATTTTAAAAAAAATATTTCTTTAGTTGTTGATAGACCTTTTATTTTTATTTATTTATACACAGTGCTAGGAATTGAACCCAGTGCCTCACACATGCCAGGCAAGTGTGGTACAATTGAGCCCCAGCCCCAGCCCTGTAGTTTTTTTGTTGAAATGATCAACTGTGGGGAATAAGGAAAGACAATTATGTAAAGGATCAGGGTGTTGATTATTGCTAGACTTTATTTACCTTTTCCTATGGAAATTTGTTAAAGCTTTTTGTCTTTTATATTTTTCCTTGCAGTACTGGACATTGAACCCAGGTGTGCTCTACTGAGCTATATCCACAGCCCTTTTTGAGATAGGGTCTTGCTAAATAAATTGCCCAGGATGACCTTTAATTTGTAATCCTACTGCCTCAGCCTCCCAAGCAGCTGGGGTTACAGGTGTGCATCACTGCACTAGGCTACTTTTTAACTTTTTATAGGGTCAATTTTGATCAAATACTTTTCTAGAAAATTATTAATATCACCTGTATTTTCAAATTTACTTGCATACTAATATGTTTGTGAGCAATTTTATAAGTCTTCTTTTTGTGGGAGGAGAGTTAGAAATTGAACCCAAAGGGGCTGGGATTATGGCTCACAATAGAGTGCTCGCCTAGCATGTGTGAAGCTATGGGTTCGATCCTCAGCCCCACATAAAAATAAAAAGTAACGATATTGTGTCCAATTATAACTAAAAAAATTTTAAAAAAAAGAATTGAACCCAAAGCTCAGCATATGCTAAGAATATACCATACCATGGAACTACTTGCCTTGCCCCATAACTCACTCTTTCTTTCTTTTCTTTTTCTTTCTTTCTTTCTTTTTTTTAGGCTTATTCTTTACACGTAGACATTAAAGATTATTTTTTTATTTGAATTGGTTTTATTCTTTTCCAGAATTCATTACAAACTGATTTATCTCTATTCCTTCTACTTTTGTTTAGTTTACTTGGTTAGTTTTTCTAGATTTTTTCCATCAGTTGTTTATTTAATTATGTTGAGGTAACAGCTTTTTCTCTAAGCATTGTAGTTGATTAATGTACTTTTTGAATTGTAGTGTTTTCTTTTTACCTGTCTGTATTTCTCTCATTTCACTATTTCAGTAGTATAACAAAGAATCTGACTTTTTTTTGTAACTTTATTTTATTTATTTATTTTTATGTGTTTCTGAGGATTGAACCTAGTGCCTCTCACATGAGAGACAAGCAGTCCACCACTGATTACAGCCTCAGCCCCAAGAATCTGACTCTTTGATTTTTGAATGCTGATAACTTTTTCAAGACCTGTTCCTCTTTTTTTCAACCCCTTTTTCTTTTTTATGGATCATCTGATTAAAAACCTAGGTGCTCTCTTCTTTGGTTCCAGGAGGCAGTTCCAAACCATAAAAGCCTCCTCCCACCTGTAGGAGCTCTCAGCTCAGCACCATACCCTAAGCATCAATAAAAACTCCATACCAGTCTCAATTATTTTTCAACTTCTTGGAAACTACCTTGCCCTCTCTGGAAAACCTCATTATGTATGTAGTAAACCTTTTCACATATTCTTGGTGTATGCATGTGGCATCTTCAGTCTTAACAACATTTTTTTTGTGTGTGAGCATCCATCCTGCTTCTTTGATGTCCATGTCCATTTATCCTGGGACCTAAAGAATGAGAAAAATCCAATCTACAAAGTGTCAAGGATTCTTGGAAGATTAAACCATCCATAGAAAGCATTAATAATGAGGAAATTTGTACTGTTTTCTAAGTGACAAAAAGAGGGAATGTGGTAGAATATAGGGAACAAACAGGTTGCTGTTTTGACATGTGGCCTCATAGATATCAGGAGTCCTGCTGACCTGCTTAGAAAGGGAGGGATTTGATTTTTTTTTCATTTATGTTCTTTTTTATTTTTAAAAAATTTTTAAATTTGTTTTAATTAGTTACATATGACAGTAGAATGCATTTATGCACTTTATATATCATACATAGATGAGATATAATTTCTCACATTTAGAAAATGTGTAGAATCACATTGGTCATGGAGTCACATATATACATAAAGTAATAATCTGTTTCATCCTACTATTTTTCCTGTCCCCACATCCCTTCCCCTTTCCTCCCTTCACTTCCCTCTACCTAATCTAAGGTAACACTCTTCTTTAGTGTCCCTCACCTTATTGTGAATTAACATCTACATATTAGAGAAAACAATTGGCCTGTGGCTTTTTAGGATTGGCTTATTTCACTTAGCATGATATTCTCCAGCTCCGTCCATTTATTGGCTAATGCCATAATTTCATTTTTCTTTAAAGCTGAGTAATATCCATTGAATATATACCACATTTTCTTTAGCCATTCATCCATTCAAGGACACCTAGGTTGGTTCCATAGTTAAGCTATTGTGAATTGAGCTGCTATAACCATTTACATGGCTGCATTACTGTAGTATATTAAGTCCTTTGGGTATACACCAAGGAGTAGGATAGCTGGGTCAAATGGTGGTTCCATTCCAGGTTTTATGAGGAATCTCCATACTGCTTTCCATAGTAGTTGTATTAATTTGTAGTCCCACCAGCAATGTATGAGTGTACCTTTTTCTAAATAAAGATGCTGAAGTTTTTCTCTTCTCACCAACATTTATTGTTGCCTGTATTCTTGATGATTGCCATTCTGACTGGAGATGAAATCTTAGTGTAGTTTTGATTTACATTTCTCTAATTGCTAGAGATGTTGAAAACTTTTTCATATATTTGTTGATCAATTGTATTTCTTCTGTGAAGTATCTGTTCCCTTCCTTAGCCCATTTATTTGACTGAGTTATTTGGTTTTTTGTTAAGTCTTTTGAGTTCTTTATATATCCTAGAGATCAATGCTTTATCAGAGGTGCATGTGGTAAAGATTTCCTCCTAATCTGTAGGCTCTCTCCTCACATTGTTTCCTTGCTGAGAAGAAGCTTTTTAATTTGAATTCATCCCATTTATTGATCCTTGATTTTACTTCTTGTGCTTTTGGGGTCTTGTTAAGGAATTCATATTCTAGGTCAACATGTTAAAGATTTGGGCCTACTTTTTCTTTTATTAAGCTGTTCTAGTGCTTAGGTCTTTAATCTACTTTGAGTTGATTTTTGTGCAGGGTGAGAAATAAAGGTTTAATTTCATTTTGCTACATATGAATTTCCAGTTTTTTTAAGAGAGAGAGAGAATTTTTTAATATTAGTTTTCCATGGACACAATATCTTTATTGTTTTTGTATGTGGTACTGAGGATCGAACCCAGTGCCCCGCTCATGCCAGGCAAGTGTGTTATCGCTTGAGCCACATTCCCAGCCCCTGAATTTCCAGTTTTGCCAGCACCATTTGTTGAATAGGCTATATTTTCTCCAGCAAATGTTTTTGGCACTTTTGTCTAGTATGAGATAACCACATTTATGTGGGTTTGTCTCTGTGTCCTCTGTTCTGTACCATTGGTCTACAAGTCTATTTTGGTGTCAATACCATGCTGTTTTTGGTACTATAGCTGTGTAGTATAGTTTAAGGTCTGGTATTGTGATACCTGCTGCTTCACTTTTCTTGCTAAAGATTGCTTTGTCTATTCTTGGCTCTTATTTTTCCAAATATCTATGAAGAATGTCATTGGGATTTTAATAGGAATTGCATTAAATCTGTATAATGCTTTTGGTAGTATGATCATTTTGACAGTATTAATTCTTCCTTTCTCCAGGAGATGGGAGATCTTTCCATCTTTTGAGGTTTTCTTCAATGTTCTATAGTTTTCATTGTAGAGGTCTTTCACCTCTTTTGTTAGATTGATTTCCAGGTATTTTATTTTATTTGAGGCTATTGTGTGAATTTTATTCTAAGAATAAAAGAAATCACTAAAGAAACTTAAAAGGATGGGGCTGGGGAT